GAACTATGTTTGGACACGGAATTATTTAAATAAAATATCATTAACGTAAAATATCATTTACGTACTTTGTTAATCTTCACTGTACACCTTGCTTAAAAATTTCACATGTTACACACGAGGTGTCATGCACACTAGAAAATTAAAACGGCCGTCACGGTTAAATTATTTATTATTTCGAGTCCGAAAAATTGGTAAATATTCTTCAGACGTTCTAAAGTAAAGGTGAATATCGTTTTTCTTAAAAATATCACTGTTACGTAGTAAAAAAAAATCCCGACCATCTGTCAAAGCCTCGTGCTGCGGACTCTCTCGCGGACTCTCTCTCTCTCGCACCGTCACCTCTCATTGGCCAGTGTTTTTCGTTAATAACTCGTAAACAAAGCCGCGGATTGCATTTTCGCAAAGGAAAAAGTTACTTCAAATGACCTCAGCTACCCCTCATTTTCGGCTGTTAAAGTAATTGTGGAACACCCTGTAGATTTATCATTCGAACAAACATTTGTTACGCGACAGTCTAAACGGATTCGAGATTCTGCGTAATTTCGATCGATGTTCTTTTCACCGTCCTTTCGTCCTCGTTCTCATTAGTAGCGAATTTCGTCGACGGTGCCATCAATTTCAATCCCGTGTCTTCATTTGTCCGTTATGATTTAATGGCCGCCACAGTGTCTCGGGGATGATCCTCTTTACTATTTCTGCAGCGGTGCAGACACAATAGTCGACGTTCGCTCTCTTGTCGTGTCCTGTCACCCCTAACGGCTTTCTTCCGGTCGCTTAAGCGACAACCAATTAGCCCTATTCGTGCACTCTTTCTCTTCTAGAAATTACTCTTCTCGAGAACCGTTCCAATGTACAACATCCTTCTTCGATCGGTCCCGGTTCGTAACCCAATAACATCAATCATTCGTAACAGCAGACCGACGAACAACATTCCAGGGACAACTTCTGCCGCGAGAAAAACAACACCTTCCCCATTGTTCCGGCCGCTCTTAAGACCCCGAGTTCCATGGATAATTACACCCGGAATAGTTCCGCCGGTATTGTCGAAGAAATCCTCGCCGGAATTCGCAGTAAGTTAAAGTCGACTTCCTTTCCCGTGTCCGATCGGCGAACATCTCGATCCAACGGGTAGCTTTTCCCTATATCTCGGTCTGCCCTTTTGTTCCTGTCTATCACGGCTGAGAATACTTTGGAGACCGGTGCGGTGATGAGCGCCAAGGCGGGAGCAGTTGCCCCGCTTCCGTTCTATATACCGTTTCGTACGTCTTTTTCTCCTCTCTGTCCCCTGTCCTCTCCCGCTGTCCCCTTTTTTCACCCTTCGCCAGGGGCTAGCGCTTCGCGTCAGTTTCCATTCCTCCCGCGTCCCGCCGTCCGTCCAGGATGTTAATGCACATTTCTCCCGCGTTTTCTTGCCCCTTCGAGAACGATAATCTCATCGACACCGTGTCCCCCCTCGAGTCCTTAATCAAAGAAACCGAGTCCGCTGCTTAACAGTCGGCTGTTCTCGCGCGCCCCTCCCCCACGAGATACGGTTTGCGCTTCGCTCGGTGTAACTGCTCCGAGAAATTCGAGGAACTTCCCATTGACTTCGAACCGACTGCGCGTAGAGCTAAACAGGTTTTAAAGAAGAGCCCCGTAGGAATTCGCGGATCACACCGCGTGTTCGACGATGTTCTGCAGCAAGTTCGCGAAACTTCGAGCTTCGAAGCGGGCAACTTCGAGAACCGCCACTGTCGCTGATCGAGCCGCGAATGTCGAACGTTGCAGCATCTTTACGACGACGAGTCCCGGTTGATTGATTACCGCCAGCGGCGTGACTGATCGAGATCACATGTCAATGGTCGTACGAAAATCGCTGGTCGATGAACGACGACCTCCTCCTCGGTGATAATCGCGTTCTGGTTGCCGGTGCGCCGGCGACACTCAGAAAATTATTTTCAGGTATTCATCGTTCGGAACGGGGACAAGGATGCCTCTGGCCGCAGCCACGGTCGTTTCCACGACGCTTCCGACAATCCTCATCGGAATCGGCGCCCCAGAATCGCGCCGGATACTTTTTCCTTTCGTTCGAGCGATCTACGCCGCAGCTAACGTTCCGTCACGTTTGCAATTTCTTCGGAAACGTTCTGCGGTCCGCTGGAACGAGCAACTCTGAAACAGAAATTACGAAAAATTGTTACCGTCTAATGTGTAGGAAGCTGTTGGTAGGCGGATGTTCGACTCGTCCGTGGAAATGAGTTTTGGCAAGTCTTTCGCTTGCTCCAAGAAAATCCAAGGTTTTATTGCCACCGGGATTGTCGAGTTTTCCTCGTTTACCGAAGATTTTTGTTGGAAACGATTTGGTGAGTTGTGGCATTCGCGTTGAATTGAGTTTAGTGATAAATGTACACTTACTGACAAAAGTTAAGAAACAACTTAATGGTTTGGTACATTTCGGTATATTCTCTATCTTCTAAAATACATAAGTTGGAACTAAAAATAGCATAATTAGATAGCATCGCATACATCGATGATCAATGAGTTTTTTTCTCAAATATATCTTGTACAAGGGCCACGACTAAATTGAATCGAAGAAATAAGGCAAAAGCTGCGCGACATAAGTTAAGAAACATACATCGCTTAAGTTATGTAATCACTTTTAATGAAAACCAACGATGTGGATTTGAGGACTGCTTTGCATCTGCGTGGCATAGATTCAATTAATCGAACACGAAACTCAGTCGGAATCTCTGACCATATTTTCGTGATTGTTTCCATTAATTCTGCTTTATTGTTATATGACTGACTCGTCACCAAAATTATAAAACGATTCGAAGAATATGGAATTGTTAAAACAGCACCACGAACTGGTAGACCGCGAAAAACAGATGAAAAGCTAGATCGACGAATTGCAAGACTTTCTAAGTCGAATCTATTTTACACTGCTTCTGAAATTAAAAATCAACTGTGTCCGGAAAACATTAGTAGCAGGACAATTAGCCGTCGTTTAGATGAAAATAATCTTTTTTCACGTAAAGCATGCAAGAAACCACTTGTGTCGAAGAAAAATAGAGCAGCTCGGTTGGAGTTTGCTAGAGAACACCCTAATTGGACTACTTAAGTGGTCAAAAATTTTATGGAGAAATGAGAGTACGTTAAATCTGCTTGGAAACGACTCTAAAATGATACGCGACGCCCTACTGGACAACGATTTCATGTCAAATACCTAAAACCGACGGTAAAATTTGGTAGCGGCATTGTAATCGTGCGGGGTTGTTTCTCGCGTAACGGCTCCAGTCCATTAGTACAAATAAAAGAAACAATGGATAGAATTGTGTATCGTGACATCTTACAAAATCATATGCTGCCATTTGCCAATGAAAAAATGCCATCAAGGTGGTTAAGTTGGTTAAGACGTTTCTTGCAGAACAAAATATTAATGTAATCAAGTGGCCAAGTCAATCCCCGGACTTGAACCTAATTGAACATCTGTTTGATTACATTGGACGTCAGTTGGGAAGTTACTTTTTTAACGATAAAGCAGAATTAATGGAAACAATCACGAAAATATGGTCAGAAATTCCGACTGAGTTTTTGTGTTCGATTAATTGAATCTATGCCACGCAGATGCAATGCAGTCCTCAAATCCAAGGGTTATCCAACATCTTATTAGACTGTTATGAAAACTACAGACATTGACACATCGTTGGTTTTCATTAAAAGTAATTATATAACTTAAGCGATGTATGTTTCTTAACTTATGTCGTGCAGCTTTTGTCTTATTTCTTCGATTCAATTTANATAATCTTTTTTCACGTAAAGCATGCAAGAAACCACTTGTGTCGAAGAAAAATAGAGCAGCTCGGTTGGAGTTTGCTAGAGAACACCCTAATTGGACTACTTAAGTGGTCAAAAATTTTATGGAGAAATGAGAGTACGTTAAATCTGCTTGGAAACGACTCTAAAATGATACGCGACGCCCTACTGGACAACGATTTCATGTCAAATACCTAAAACCGACGGTAAAATTTGGTAGCGGCATTGTAATCGTGCGGGGTTGTTTCTCGCGTAACGGCTCCAGTCCATTAGTACAAATAAAAGAAACAATGGATAGAATTGTGTATCGTGACATCTTACAAAATCATATGCTGCCATTTGCCAATGAAAAAATGCCATCAAGGTGGTTAAGTTGGTTAAGACGTTTCTTGCAGAACAAAATATTAATGTAATCAAGTGGCCAAGTCAATCCCCGGACTTGAACCTAATTGAACATCTGTTTGATTACATTGGACGTCAGTTGGGAAGTTACTTTTTTAACGATAAAGCAGAATTAATGGAAACAATCACGAAAATATGGTCAGAAATTCCGACTGAGTTTTTGTGTTCGATTAATTGAATCTATGCCACGCAGATGCAATGCAGTCCTCAAATCCAAGGGTTATCCAACATCTTATTAGACTGTTATGAAAACTACAGACATTGACACATCGTTGGTTTTCATTAAAAGTAATTATATAACTTAAGCGATGTATGNCCAACATCTTATTAGACTGTTATGAAAACTACAGACATTGACACATCGTTGGTTTTCATTAAAAGTAATTATATAACTTAAGCGATGTATGTTTCTTAACTTATGTCGTGCAGCTTTTGTCTTATTTCTTCGATTCAATTTAGTTGTGGCCCTTATAACAAGTATGTTTGAGAAAAAAACTCATTGATCATTGATGTATGCGATGCTATCTAATTATGCTACTTTTAGTTCCAACTTATGTATTTTAGAAGATAGAGAATATACCGAAATGTACCAAACGATCACGTTGTTTCTTAACTTTTGTCAGTCAGTGTATAATCGAATCCATTCGTTAACACTAGGTTTACGGATCACTAATTTGTTAATTTACGATTATTCAAATCGTAAAGACACATTTATGCAAATATTGCAATAACACTCGTTAAAAATCGCAATAAGTATCTTATCTTTACTTTTATATATAAATTAATATAAAACAACCGCTTTAAAAGTTCTCAAAAAATCGAAGTAATTTAGTAATGGCTAATAAGATTACTGCAAGCGAAACGTACTGTCTCTTGTTAATAGACTGCGGATCTTTATGCAAAATAAGAATTATCTAAAAGTTAGTTGTGTGGACCATAAATTGAATGAAAATGTCTTTCTTCTTTTAGTAATTGTAAGAAGTTAAAAATAACGTATCGATATCCTTCAATTCTTCTAATGTCTACACAGTTTTGAATTTCATTTATTCATTGTTTGCATAAATGCATAAAATTCGCTGTCTGTTTATTAATATTGTTTAGGTATTGACAATGCGTAGGTAGTCCTCGATATAAAAGTTTCTTGCGACTTAATATCATTTACTCTGCAAGATTTTTTTGCGTATCCGTTGCAGATTAGAAATGCAAATTCTTTCATTTAAATTCAAAAAGAGAACAGCGATAGCTAACAAGTGGTGCCGAGTACTTAAAAATCACCGTGAGAAGCTTACCAACGAATATCGTGGGCGAGGGCAACTTAAAATAGTTACTTAAAATCGTAAATTTGAACTTTCTGTTGCCTGTGCAGCATACAAAAGTAATGAGAACGTGGAAGTTACTTCAATATTACTAATTATCAATAATTTAGTAATATCGTAAATATTACTAGATGTCACTAATTTAGGGATACCTTTACTATTATTAAATATGAGTGATATATATATAAAAATATCGTCGATATTACCAAATATTAGTAATTTATAAATATCTTCGACATTATTAAATATCAGTACTTTAATCATTTCGTCGAAACAATTAAATGACAGTCATTTTTTAACATCGTTAATATTAATAAATATCAACAATTTAGAAATATCGTCAACATTATTAAATACCGTTAATTAGTAATTTCGTGAATATTATGAAATATCAGTAATTTACTAAAATTGTCGATATTACTAAATTGAAAACATAATGGAAGATATCGATACTGTAATATCAATTGTCTTCAACGAAGAACTATTAATTTAATAACTATATTGCAAATAGTAATTCAATAAATATATTGCAAATAATATCATTAATTTAATAAATATATCGCATTTTAAAAAATAGCTAGCAAAAATCGTACATCAATTCAATATTATGCCATCAAAAGATTTGATATATTCGACGAAACGAACCACGCGAGTGAACCGCTAGAACCAGGTGAATTGGGGAATACTAGAATACGTATAGTAAACTATTAAGCACTTCTCGGCCACCTTACCGGATCCCGCACACGTGGCCCACTCTCTGTATATAAGTGAAACAAACGAGCGAGGAGCAATTATCGCGTGCTTCGGTTTAGTGCACTGGCGGATACCACCGAAGTCGCGGAACAATACTGTCATAAACAATGACCCACTCCTGAGAGACATCGTTAATGATCGGCGCGCGGTCTGTTCTCGGAATCGCTCCCTTAATCAAGTCGGGCTGCCCTGCGCCGAATTCGGTTCCTTGAGATCAGACAATCATCGTCGTTTTCCATTTTCTCGGTATAGTCGGTCGATTATCACGAATAATTTTCTCCAGTCTTTTGTTGAAATTCGAAGTCGCCTGCAGTGCATCGCATTTTATTGCCCGACAAATTTTGTCAAACGCACCATTAGGCAAATTGTAGCGATGAGAAGAGAAATCCATAAGAAAAACCTGGATTTGATCGTGCTAAAAAATTGAACAAATTTACGTTACACTAAATTCGTTAGATTAGAAGCTTGTACCGTGTTTATACTATTCCTTTATGCAATTGTTTATTTACAATTGTCAATTTATACGGGACAGACGATATTCTTCTTTTATTTCGGAGGTTTGCAGTTTCAAAGTTTAATGTACCGATAAATGAAAGATTTGACGGTAACATTAAGCGACAATCGACCAATTGCGAGAGTCGTGAATTAATTTCGCACCTTTATTTTGGCTACGTAGAGATCGTTAAGTTCTAGTTAACACAGTCGTTATAAATTGATTCGACAAGTGATTAATAATGTCGATTACTGTATTATTCGAGATACTATCGATTAGTGTCGTTTTAATGTTAGATGAAAGCGTTGATGGTACATTGTATAATGACGAATATATTTAGAAAGATGTGCTACACCGTGTGCTTGATAAAATAATCAAATGCCTAAAATATT